TCTTGGCACCTACACTCTCTCTCTTCTTCCTTTTCACCTCTCTCTTCTTTGTCTCTTCTTCCTTTTCCTCTCTCTTCTTGGCACTACACTCTCTCTTCTTCCTTTTCACTCTCTCTTCTTGGCTTTTTCATCTCTCTTTCTTGCTTTTTCCTCTCTCTTCTTGCTTTTTATACTCTCTCTTCTTGTTTTATTACACTCTCTTCTTGCTTTTCCTCTCTCTTCTTAGCTACTACTCTCCCCTTCTTGGCCTCCTCTCTCTTCTTGCTTTTTCTTGCACTCTACTTCTCTCTTCTTGGCACATTACACTCTCACTTCTTGGAGCACTACACTCTCTCACGGAGCGTCACAGCGTCCCCAAGCATTCCCAGTCTTTATTAGGCTTCCACAGCGTCCATGCATGTTTAAGTGTTTTTGCTCTTAATACTGTACTGTAACCATTGAAAATGGCTTCCAAACGCCCATCAAGTGCTACTGATGCTAGTTTTGTGATGAAACAAAGTAAAACCATTAGCCTGGCTACAGAAATGGAGGTTTTATCCCGCCCATCAGCGAGTACAATACAAAATGATTTAGTTTATTTATCTTTTGGGATGTATAATCTATTCTATTTTCTATAAAAATTCCAATGAATTTATGTACAGTAAAACCTTAATTAACCGACCCTCGATTAACCGACTTTCGGTTTACCGGTAACCATCAATCCCGAACCCCTATTTTTTATTTTATTTTATTTTTTTTATATGGGGATTAGCCCACCCGGGCACAGGTCACTGACCCACATCGGGGCCTGGGGGCGATAATGTAATAATATTAATAATGATAATGCTAATAATAATAATAATAATAATAATAATAATAATAATAATAATAATAATAATAAAACATAAAGAAATGTAAAAATGAAAAAAAAATCAATCAAGAGTGAGAAACAATGTACCTGTATGTATGTTGTGTTGTCAATAGTAAGAGAAACAATTGAGACCCTGCAATTGTGTGTAAATGAGGCAGAAAGTCAGATCAGCAACCTGGGACTTGGTCAAAATTTTTGTGATGACGTACAGTTGTACCCCACTTAACGCGGTCAATTGAACCCAGAGGGTCCCGCGTTAAGTGAAAACCGCGTTAAGTGAATAACAGAACATATGGGATTAATTCCAATAGAACCCAGCCCGACCCCCAAACTCCACTTTTTGACGACAAATAACTATGTTGTAGTAAAAATAACATCTTAATTTTATGATGGTACATGCACACAATTAATACTTAAGAGAAATAGAGAAATACAGTCGCCAAGTTAATGTCCATTCAAATAATGGACTCAACTCCCTCCCCCTCTTCTCACACTACACTCACTGGCTCTTCCCTCTGAGAAATTTTTGGGGGAAAACCAGGTATAGTAATAAATAATTCCTCAAACTAAAGTTAGGATAATATAATTGACATTGCTGGATTCCTTGTAAGACCAGGAATATTTTGAATATAAATGTCATATATTTTTCACAAAAGATAACATATTTACTCAGAATAAACTTTACATCTAAAATTTGTATGTCTAATGCAAAATCTATGATGTTTATATTCAAAATGATCAGCAAATTGTAAGAATTCCAGCAATGTAAATTATATTCTGGCCGGATAATTTGTATGAATTTTATGAGCTAAAACAAATATCTTCAGTTAATAAAAAAAAAAAAATATTCTTCGACACTATCTGTCAATCAAAGTACCCCACCTTGCCTTCCCCCCCTCTTCCAACCGCGTGGTCAGTCCCAACCCTCCCCCCACCCCCCACCAATCCTCCATTCAAGAGTTTTTAACATTTAGTATTAAATAATACCTCAGATTAAAGTTAGGATAATATAATTGACATTGCTGGATTCCTTGTAAGACCAGGAATATTTTGAATATAAATGTCATATATTTTGGACAAAAGATAACATAATTACCTAGAGAACAATTTTTATCTAAAAATTGTATGTTTAATGCAAAATATATGTTGTTTATATTCAAAATGATCACCAAATTATAAGAATTCCAGCAATGTAAATTATATTCTGACCGGGTAATTTGTATGAATTTTATGAGCTAAAACAAATATCTTCAGTTAATAAAAAAAAAAATAATTCTTCACAGGGTAACAGATGGTCGGTCGGTCGGTCCCTCCCTCCCCCCCACCCCCCACCCCCCACCAACCGTCCCAAGGAGATGTGTGGGATAACCACTAAATTTTAATAAATAATACCTCAAACTAAAGTTAGGATAATATAATTGACATTGCTGGATTCCTTGTAAGACCAGGAATATTTTGAATATAAATGTCATATATTTTGGACAAAAGATAACATAATTACCTAGAGAACAATTTTTATCTAAAAATTGTATGTTTAATGCAAAATATATGTTGTTTATATTCAAAATGATCACCAAATTATAAGAATTCCAGCAATGTAAATTATATTGTGGCTGGGTAATTTGTATGAATTTTATGAGCTAAAACAGGCAGTCAGGCAGGTTGGGGGGTGGTGCGAATCTAAAAATAGCTCTCGAGCCGGACACTCACCGCGTATATGATGAAAAATGCCGCGTTAAGTGAAAGTTCAGCTTTGGCAAGGCACCGCGTATATGCGAAAACGCGTTAAGTGAAAGCGCGTAAAGCGGGGTAATACTGTATGTTCTTTTACTTTTCCATTTTTTATTCACGGTTTCTGTGCTGGTTCATATTTATTTACTAAAGTGGTTAATGTCTTAAAGCAAATTCTATTGAAATATGATTGGCAAATGAACAAAAATGAATAGAGGGATTTAAATGAGGTAGGTTAGGGAAAGGTTCTTTGAAAATGTATGTTTTATTTCTGGAGTCTTTATGTACTATTAACCGACCTTTTCGATTATCCGTCGGCCCCTTCACCCCATATGTGGTCGGTTAATCGAGGTTTTACTGTATATGTAATGTATTTTATGGGGCAAAGGGAGGCTGGGGAACATAACTCCCGTATTTAATCAATTCTTATGGGGAAAATTGGTTCCGTTAACGTTGTTTCTGTTAACGTCGCGGTTTTCAGAAACAGAACCACGAGGTTAAGCGAGGACTTACTGTACTAACCGCACTGAGCCCACCCACACTACCCTGTGTGTGGCGTGACCACCAAATAATCATGCTGGAACCTTATAACCCGTGCTGGGCATTCACACAATGGCGGGAAAAGGCGCTTGATCCAGAACATCAACCGGGTTGCCCCCAGACTGACGTCAACCAGGACTAGATTTGCGTGAGGGATGAAGGCTAATTTTTTTATTATTGTCATAGTTGCCAATAGGTTAGGGCTTCCCACAGTGCTAACCACCAGACCTTTGGTGGACCTATTCACAAGTCTATCTCTCCAGCAAATTTTGTTATAAAAACATGACACACACACACACACACACACACACCCTCTCTCCCTCTCCCCCTCTCCCTCCCTCTCCCTCCCCTCTCCCTCCCTCTCCCTCCCTCCTCTCCCTCCCTCCCTCTCCCTCCCTCCCTCCCCTCCCTCTCCCTCCCTCCCTCTCCCTCCCTCTCCCTCCCCTCCCTCTCCCTCTCCCTCTCTCTCTCTCCCTCTCCCTCCCTCTCTCTCCCTCTCCCTCCCCTCTCTCTCCCTCTCCTCTCTCTCCCTCTCCCCTCCCTCTCCCTCCCTCTCTCTCCCCTCTCCCCTCCCTCTCCCTCCCTCCCTCTCCCTCCTCCTCCCTCCCCTCCCTCCCCTCTCCCCTCTCTCTCTCTCTCTCCTCCCCTCTCTCTCCCTCTCCCTCTCCCTCCCTCTCCTCTCTCTCTCTCTCTCTCTCTCTCTCTCTCTCTCTCTCTCTCTCTCTCTCTCTCTCTCTCTCTCTCTCTCTCTCTCTCTCTCTCTCTCTCTCTCTCTCTCTCTCTCTCTCTCTCTCTCTCTCTCTCTCTCTCTCTCTCTCTCTCTCTCTCTCTCTCTCTCTCTCTCTCTCTCTCTCTCTCTCTCTCTCTCTCTCTCTCTCTCTCTCTCTCTCTCTCTCTCTCTCTCTCTCTCTCTCTCTCTCTCTCTCTCTCTCTCTCTCTCTCTCTCTCTCTCTCTCTCTCTCTCTCTCTCTCTCTCTCTCTCTCTCTCTCTCTCTCTCTCTCTCTCTCTCTCTCTCTCTCTCTCTCTCTCTCTCTCTCTCTCTCTCTCTCTCTCTCTCTCTCTCTCTCTCTCTCTCTCTCTCTCTCTCTCTCTCTCTCTCTCTCTCTCTCTCTCTCTCTCTCTCTCTCTCTCTCTCTCTCTCTCTCTCTCTCTCTCTCTCTCTCTCTCTCTCTCTCTCTCTCTCTCTCTCTCTCTCTCTCTCTCTCTCTCTCTCTCTCTCTCTCTCTCTCTCTCTCTCTCTCTCTCTCTCTCTCTCTCTCTCTCTCTCTCTCTCTCTCTCTCTCTCTCTCTCTCTCTCTCTCTCTCTCTCTCTCTCTCTCTCTCTCTCTCTCTCTCTCTCTCTCTCTCTCTCTCTCTCTCTCTCTCTCTCTCTCTCTCTCTCTCTCTCTCTCTCTCTCTCTCTCTCTCTCTCTCTCTCTCTCTCTCTCTCTCTCTCTCTCTCTCTCTCTCTCTCTCTCTCTCTCTCTCTCTCTCTCTCTCTCTCTCTCTCTCTCTCTCTCTCTCTCTCTCTCTCTCTCTCTCTCTCTCTCTCTCTCTCTCTCTCTCTCTCTCTCTCTCTCTCTCTCTCTCTCTCTCTCTCTCTCTCTCTCTCTCTCTCTCTCTCTCTCTCTCTCTCTCTCTCTCTCTCTCTCTCTCTCTCTCTCTCTCTCTCTCTCTCTCTCTCTCTCTCTCTCTCTCTCTCTCTCTCTCTCTCTCTCTCTCTCTCTCTCTCTCTCTCTGACACAAAGCTTAACTTTGTTTTTAGGATATTGCATATTTCATTACTCCTTGGATACTTACTTGGCAAAAATGTCGGTAAGATATGCAGTACAGTATTGAATTTTAAAAAAATATATATTTATTTCTCTTATTTTTTTTTTATTTTTTTTTTTTTTACAGACTTTGCGATTTATCAGCTCCATACTCTACAAGATACTAAGAAACAAGAGATATCTAGCTGCAAGTGTAATGAAATTCATGAATATCCAGGTAAGTTTTAGCTACGTATTTCTATAGTAGAACCTTGATAAATCGGACTAATTGGGGCAGGCCCCAGTCCAAACAATGCGAATATATATATATAAATGGGGTTAATAATAATAATAATAATAATAATTAATGGTTTATTGAAAGAGCATAGCAGCCAGAAGGCTGAAAATATAGTTACATAATTCGGAAATGGGTTTCAATTTACAAATAATATACAAGTAACATAAGTGATACTAATAAGATACATAATAACTAGTTAGGGAAAAGCTCAAACTACAGGGCATTTCAACATAGTGACAGTGCAAAAAGGAGGATTTACTGGGAGTGAATACACTGGTTTATTACAAGTTATTGATAATTTTTACAATGGTTGGGACTGGGCTGTTCTTATAGCGATCAGTTCGTGCTCTTATGGGCTGGATGCGGTTGTGGTGTCGAGCAGCAATTCTCGGGCTAGGGATCTCAGGTGGTAGTAGGAGCCGGTGTCGAGGATGGTGTAGAAGCTTCTTACCAAATTTGCAGATGAGGTCGAGGTGATGGTCAGTGAGAGTCGAAAGGTTCAGTGTGTTGAGCGCTTCTTGATATGTGGAGTAGGAAGGGGAGAGAATAATCTTGCATGCCCTCTTTTGCACTTTTTCTAGGTGTTTACGTTGTGTGGCATTTAGGGAGGAAGACCAGGTGGATGAGGCATAGGTGAGCTTGGGAAGTATGAATGTTGAGTGTGTGTGTGTGTGTGTGTGTGTGTGTGTGTGTGTGTGTGTGTGTGTGTGTGTGTGTGTGTGTGTGTGTGTGTGTGTGTGTGTGTGTGTGTGCGTGCGTGCGTGCGTGCGTGCGTGCGTGCGTGCGTGCGTGCGTGCGTGCGTGCGTGCGTGCGTGCGTGCGTGCCACCATATGAACTGTTTAAAGACAATCTGTTGTTGTTATGTTATTACTGCACCTCAACAACTAGTGTTTTTAAGTGTACTATAATGAAGTTATTAAAAGAATATTACATCAATAAAAAACAAAAAAACAAAAAACTCTTGAGTTGAAAATCAGACATGTAAATAAGAGCAAATAAGTGTAGGAGTATATTGTATGTGGAAGACGAAGTGTTTATCTGGGAACAACTGGCAGTGGGGTAGGGGAGGGAAGCAAGGGTGGGTGGCTCCCTCCCACAAGATCCCTTTAACACTTCTTTATGCAATTTCACCACAATTCTCATATAATTTAGGGTCATTTCGTGCCAGGTTGATTAAATATTTTCCTAAAAGAATTAGCTTTCCTGAAAAAGGAATCCCACGCTCAACACCACGAGTCATTGTTTACAAAAGGCGGAAAATCAAACTGGAAGGGTACGGAATTCGGGGAAATGTCCTAGCGTGGATAGAAGACTTTCTACATGACCGCAAGCAGTGTGAGGTGTTTAATGGCACGAAACCATCATCCGTACCTGTCACAAGCGGGGTACCACAGGGCAGTGTATTGGGCCCGCTGTTGTTTGTTTGTTTCATAAATGACATGCCTGATGTTGTACACTCCTCCATACAAATGTTTGCCGATGACGCAAAGTTATTTCGGGAAATCAAGAACCAAGCAGACTGTGAAGAGCTGCAGAAGGACCTCTGTGGGCTCCAGGAATGGTCGAAGAAATGGCTGCTGAGATTCAATGTCACGAAGTATAAGAGGATGCACCTGGGGCGTACCAACGGTAAGGAGGCGTATCACATGTCCCAACGGGATGAGAAACTGCACTATTTGAGACTGAATGTGAGAAGGACCTAGGTGTGTATGTTGACAATGAGCTGAAGTTCTCGGGCCATTGTGAGAAGAAGGTAAGTCAGGCAAATCTATTATTGGGTCTTATAAGAAGGTCGTTCAGATATCTAGACGATCCGGCCCTCATAACGATCTTCAAGAGTGAAGTGCTTCACCATCTGGAGTACTGTCACCCCGTCTAGTCCCCGAGATAGGCAAGGGACTGTCAGTTGGTTGAAAATGTTCAAAGGAGGGCCACCAGACTGGTGCCTGCCCTTCGGCACCTCAGCTACCCTGAGAGATTGGAGCGCCTGAACTTGCCTAGCTTATACTACAGACGGACAAGGGGTGACCTAATTGAGGTGTATAACCATCTCAAGGGGCACTACTCAGTCGAGTGTCCTCACTTGGAGCTGGCGGACGCTCGCCCTATAGATATATAAGACGAATATGCCTGTAATATGTAACTCTGTACTATTTACCATTATTGATTCAGGTCTCTGTATTATATGTTTTATAATCACACTCCCTTTTGTCACAAGTGATAGTTCAGACTTTGGGCACATGCGCGCTGTACGCGCATGTGCAGATAGAGATACCCAGAGAGATTCCAAGACAGGACGCTGTTTACCCCTGTCTTAACTCCTTTGTGTTTGTACCAGAAATAGAACTTACAGACTTGACATCAGAGTGTTTCCTTTACCCATGAGTGTAAGGACCACCTGAGTATCATACATGGCGCAGTGTTTAGCTGGGACATCACATTATTCAGAATTGGAGTGGACACAGAATCTCTCTCGGAGCCGCCATCTTGTCAACTCCTCTTGTCTGGTGGATCTTGGCGCGTACCTCAACACGATATTCCTGGATTTACAGTGCAGTGTTGTGAAGTGCTTTTTCAGTGTTGTGTGTGCCCTTTAGTGTCTTTAAAGTGTTTCCCCGTGTTCCTGCACTTTTTACAAAAGAGGGGAGCCTTTTTAAGAGCTATGGGAGAGCTCAAGTTTTGACATCCATCCCCGCTCATGTCTCGACCAGCACTGAGTGTCTGAGCCAGCGAGGGGAGTTGCTGTAACCGCCAGCCTGCCTGCCCCGAGTACGCGCGCGCGCGCACACGCACACACACACACACTCACAGACGCTCGCAGATATCTTCCATTTAAAGACGATTGCTCTTCTGCTCACTTATTAATTACAGTAATTGTGAGAGAAATAAACCAGGCCATATGGAAGATCAGGAATTTATTGGGTTTTCTTCAGATACCCAACAAGCCCTACTTCAGACGGATGTCGGTGCAGTAAGTGGACTCCAAGTGGATCGGGAAGTGGATCAAGCGGCCCCACCCACCCTTAGCCCCCACTACACACGTCCGCAATCTGCCACAGGTGTCGACTTCCTTCATTTAATTCAGTTTTTGGAAGAAAACCGACGACAAGACGACATCAGGAGGCGACAGGAAGACGATGAACGAAGGCGTGAAGAGAATCACAGACGTCAACAAGAAAATGCCAGGTTCAGTGCCATTATCGAGTTGTTGGCACCTGTTAACCTTCAAGCAGCTACTACACCTGCCTCTTCATCCACAGGTGCACCTGCAGGGTCCTCTTCAACTTCTTTGCCCCCCCCACAGAAAGCACTCGCTCAGAGTCCACCGCCACTCCAAGCTGATGCCTCGTTCCAGGTATTCCGTGAATGGCGTCGGAGGTGGGACGATTATTCGATGATGGTCGATTTATCAAGGTTGCCTAGGGAGAAACAGCTGATCCAGATGAGGATGTGTCTCACCCTAGAGACGCAACGTATCCTGGAGCACACCCTGCAAATTCCCCACGACACAGACAAGAGTGTGAAGGACGTCTTGGATGCTCTACAGACGCATATCAAGGGCCTCCGCAACGAAGCTCTCCGTAGGAGAGAACTTCTCAGTTGTAAGCAGCTGGAGGGTGAGTCGTTTGCCGATTTTTACGTACGACTCCGACGCATCGCTGAGGAGGTTGACGTTTGTCCTGGGAACTCGTCGACTTGTGAGGAAACACAGCTGAAGATGATTATCCTCATGGGCGTGCGGGACGAAGAGCTAATTCAGAAGCTTATCTCCCTCGACACTGCCTCTTCTCTACAGGATGTTGTCACCACCTGCCGCTCTTACGAAGCCACCAGAAGTGCGACTTCTTCCATTCGTGCTCCATCTAACCAGCTGTGTGCCATCTCCGCATATAAGAAGAACAAAGGACGTGACCGGACTTCAGCTTCACATCCGACTTCAGCTTCGCATCAATCTTCAGCATCACTTCAGACTTCGACGCCAGGTCATTTCTGCCAGTATTGTGCTCGTCGGCATGGTTCTGAAAGCCCTGCCGCTGACAGCACCTGCAATAACTGTGGCCGTCGTGGTCATTGGGCTAGGACACTGAAGTGCCCTGCCAACAGCGCTCAGTGCCGCTCCTGTAGCCGCATTGGACACTATGACAAATGCTGTCAGTCAAAGAAGAAGAATAATACTACTCGCAAGTCTCAGGCGGCGAAGAACAAGCGCTGTCGTCGCGTGGGATCCTCTTCTTGCCCTGTCAGCAAGACACCTCAGCCCATCTGTGTTCACCTGTCATACGGCGACATTACTTCCCGTATCCAGATGCTTCCTGACACAGGTGCGGATGTCACAGTCATCGGCACAAGACACCTCGACATTCTGCGGATCCCTAGGAGCAGCTTTCAACCACCGTCAACTTCTACAACGCTCACCGCAGACGGTTCTACAATGGCACCTGCTCTGGGTACATTTCAGGCTACCCTCACCCTAGGTAAGCAGTCATGTTCTGCCAGGATTCAGGCCCACAAAGGTGTTCAGATGCCACTATTGTCTTATGGCCACTGTCAAGAGTTGGCTATAATATCTTCAGACTTCCCTAAGCCAATTCTGGAAATAAAACATGTCAACAGGTGCAAGGAGCTACCCCTCCCACCCAATATGTCACCTTCTGCAGCCAGGGAGTTCTTCCTACTGCAATTCAAGGACGTGCTGGTTTCCAAGGAGGACCTCAAGACGGCTCCACTCAAGCCAATGGCTGGCTCCCCCATGAGAATTCACCTGAAGGATGACGCAGTACCTTTCGCCATCGACACACCGAGACAGATACCCTTCACTTTCCAGAGCCAAGTTAAGAAGGATCTCGACTCTATGGTAGCCCAGGGGATCATTAAGCCTGCTGGTGACGACCCCTCGGATTGGTGTCACCCCATGGTAACAGTCGCCAAGAACATTACT